ATGTTTTACTATATCTCAAATTCTACTTCCCCAGGTCTAAATCTCGTGGACCTTGGTCCAAATCCGCTGCCGTAAGAGAGAGCGAAAGATACAGAGAGATAAGGAAGTGTTTTAAAATTTTAATTAGAGATATGACGAAGCACAACCACATTTTTATCTATAGATATTTTATAGATAAGATTTAATATTAGAAAGAAATTGGCGAAAGAATTACAACTTTCTTAGTAAAGGCTGTGACCAATATTAGTTGTGTACTTGCAATATTATTTTAACTATTTCCTTTTTTGTAAGAAACCCCATACATTAACTCAAGCACAACTTTGTTTCAGGCCACCCGGGTTCTTCAGTGCTTTAAGTACCTATAAAGTATCTTTGATAAAATTAAACATGTTACTTACTCTGCATGCTTGTAGCCCGAACATAAAGATAAGTCCTACGGTGAAGTGGCTAGTGGGAAGCATGCGGGATAGTAATTTATATCGTAAGATTTTTTTTATTATTACATAATGGATATAGAATATTTTTATTATTATAATAGGCAAAATAATTATGAGTGAGCTGTTATGTAATCATACTTATTTTTGCACCTAATATTATATTTATTGCTTGGAATTCAAGCTGTTTTCACCAATGATTTCTTTTACGGCTCCGTGGCGCAGAGGCTTAGCAATCATTTATTGCGCTGGGGGCCGCGGGTTCGAATCTCGCACGGAACAAGTATTTGTATGGCCTACAAATAACTGTTTCGGGTCTGGATGTTTGTCCTTGTGCAATTTATGTTTGTAAACTGCCTCCACGACACAGGAGAAAATCCTAGTGTGGGAGTAACGTTTTAAAAAAAATTAAAAAAAATTTTTACGCAAACACTACCCAATGAATAATCATTATTTTAATTCCCAACGTTTCGGGTGCTTTACAGAAACCAACAAGGAATTAAAATAAGTAAATTAAACGCGATAAAATCCGTAAAAATAGTTTTATTCAATGTCTTACCAATTAAAAATGTATCATAAAATAATTATGAGATTGGGCGTGGCCACAAATTTAGGTAAACTACAACTTTCAAAAGCACAGTAAACAAAAACAGTGCAGTAAGTTTTAGCGGAAAGCTACAAATGGTCTTTATTGTGTCGTTAATATCAAAACGCTTTAACGATAATATCAGAAACTCGGGGAAATAAACAGAAACAGAAACTTTTTTATTCAATATAGATTATAAATAATACTTATTGAAAGTCACTCTTTTGGTTCATTACCACTGGTTCGAAAAAAACCTCTGTCCTGGGAAGAACCAGCAAGAAACCCAGCGGGACTTTTTTTAAATAACAGCTTAAAATCATTTATGTTACACAATTAACAACACAAAACAAATTAGAAATAGCTTGGTAGCGATCACCTCATTCTCAAGGGTATCATCCATAAATTCGATAATTAATTTAATTATAATAACCCTTTTCATACTAACTTAGTTCAATAAAATTTTTGAACTTTGAGCAGGTCAAATCATAACGCATTGAGTACGAAGGAAAAAAAACAATTAATACCAATTAGTAGTTTTCAATCAAACATGATTGGAACTAAAAAAACACAATTTTTTAACAATATTAACGGTTCCGTGGCGCAGTGGCCAAGTATTGAGTGGTAGCGTTGAGGGCCGCGGGTCGACTCCCGCACGGAACAAGTATTTGTATGGTCTACAAATAATTGTTACGGGTCTGGATGTTAGTCCTTGTGAAATTTATATGCCTCCACGATACAGGAGAAAATCCTAGGGTGTGTGTAGCGTTTTTTTTTTTAAATAAAGCCTGTTTATTTAGTGCCTAAATAATTTATTTACATAGGAAAAATATTTGAAATGTATTAAAAACAAAGTTCTTTATATTTTATTTCTAGTCCTGTTCCTATCCCATTAAGAACAAACTGTTTATAATTATGTATGGAGTTTATAACATAACATATTTTTTTAATATCGCGTCAAATTATACTTTTTTTTATTAAAATGGCTATACGTCTTGCCATCTCACGTGTATCCAAATCTTTAATCACTGGAAACAGCGTCTGACGAATGAAGCGGAAAATATTTAAATGGAAGCTAGAATACCATGCAACGCATTTACTCCGTAAAATATGATAGCAACGAAGAAAAAAAATCACTACTGCATCCGGACTGAAATGGTAATATTTTACCTTCCCTAAATAAAAAATAGCTCACATTCCTCCTTCGATTACTTTGGGCAAGCTTTGATAAATGAGTATTCATATTTCAAGTATTTGATTATGACAAATATATGTATTATATAATTTATTATCACTTATATATCTTTAGAGGTATCTACCGGCGAGCAAGTGAAACGTATACAAAGACATAAAAATGTATACAGAATGACGCGTTTAGATGGGGCTGTTTGAAAAAAATCTAATTATCCATAGTCTAATTGTTGTATGATTTTTTGTTCGAGTGAATCTGATCTTCTCCCGAAAAATGGAAAAAGAGAAATAAGAGCTTTGAATAAATATTTCGTCAAAAAATACGACGTCAAGCCAAATCAAGGAAGACATGGATAGATAATACGTAAGGTGAATCTGCGTCTACCTGCTGCGTATTCCACAGTAAAATAGTGGGCAAACAAGGTAGAGAAAGCGTCGAATATAACCCGAGCAAAAGGCCATCGACTTCCAACACGTTAGAAATCATCGATAAAATCCATAAAATGGTTTGAGTAGACCGAAGATTCAAAGTACGTGAAATAATTGACACTATAGGGATCTCAATTGAGCGGGTGTTTCATATTTTAATTGACGAACTAGGAATGGAATAGAATCTGGGGTGTGATCGATCAAATACTAGCGATTTTTTGAGAAGATTTATAACCACTGATTGAAGTTGGATTCACCACAATATTCCTGAGCCCAAAATCTAGTAAAAAAAGTGGAAACATAGCGATTCTCTGCCACTGAAGAAAGCCAAGTCGCAAAAGTCGGCGGTAAAAGTGATGGCATCAGTGGCAAGTCATCAGAATTATTTTTATTCACTACTCTCCCTAAGAACAGGCTATCACAGGATAGGTATAATACTTTGAACTCCGTTTCAAAGTATTAAACCCATCCTGTCCCCAAAATTAAAAAAAAAACACCTGACTGAAAGAAAGTTTTCCACAAACAAAGAGGTGACAGTTGAGACGGGGTGGATTTGTAGTGTTTTGAGACATATTCTCCGTATGTGGAAATGAAATCAGTTTTTAATTTTAATTTTATATTAAATTAAATGAACTTCGTTCAGACGAAATAGCAGTCATCACATCTCGACAAATAATCTGTACTCGTATAACGTAAAACACAAGCCTTCAAATGTCATAATGCATACATGTACATAGGTACACTCTCACGCTTGTTACCCAGTGGAGTGGGCAAAGACTATGAACTTCCATTTGGCACAATCCTGACACAAGACACACCTCTCTTGCTTCTTTCTCATCCATATTATATCTAAGCATACATGGTCGTCGGTTGAGATAGGGCATTCTTATTTTTAGTCTGGAAAAAAACATACTTGATAAAAAATGATGCTCGATGAAGAAAGAAGACATATTTTGGATTTTAAAATTATTTTATTTAATATAAGTAAATAAAATTTGTGTTACTATATTTTTGATTTGATAATTTTTAATGAAAGAGTCGACATAAAAATCTCTTGCGTTATCGCCATTTAGATAATTAATTAACCAAATTATGTTCAAAGATGTGTACTAAATGTAAATGTAATAAGAATACGACTCGATCTAAAATTTTAATCACCCGGTTTGGTAAGGGCTTATTTGAGACTTTTTGTCGCGGGGTAACGGTGGCGAATTACAATCATAATAGCTGTACCGCTTAACCGTTAACGGACTCAGTTTTTTTTTATTCGAACCACTTTTTTAATGTTCGCTTATGTAAGTATTACTTTGAGTGTCCTAAAACATTTTCACTACCTTAATATTTCACTTTTTTTGCGTTTGAAAAAAATGTTATAGAATAACAAGGAACTAAACATTGAAATATTTTTAAACTTTAGTAATGATATTGCAATTGATGTTTAGTATTTTATAATTTTATTTTAATTCAGATACTCGGCAATACAGTTGTACAAGTTTAACCTATCTTGTAACTTTTTAATATTAAGCAAAAGTTTCTGCAGTAGTCAAGAGTGTTGCCGCCGGCGTTAAACCGACGATTAATAAAAACAGTTTAAGTAGGTCACTTATGATTCAAACTTGGCTGCATTACATACCAGAGGGGTGATTATTTATTTTATGCTTTGCCATGATTTAGGGACCGTTACACTTATGTGCGCTTCATGAGTTACGAAATAAAAAGTATTTGTTTTATGGTTCTGTTATTTGATAAAATTGACTAAATAATAATTGTAGCATAAATTTACAAATCATAATATATCTTTGTACCAGTTAATGAAGCTTTAGGACCTAGCTTTTAAAGTAATAAAAAACAAAAACAACTATTTACATATAAATTAAAATCATTTATTGTTCTAAATTCGCTATAAATTAACATCACATGATTTAGTAGTTAAAGGCACTATGACAAAATACTAACAATAATTTAATTATAAAGAAGGTGCCCGTTACATATTTTCATAATCCAGTCTTAAGAATTTAAATTAACATTATGTTTTAAACTAGTATTTTACAATAGTCAAAAGTCTAAAATATTACAATTTGAGTCTTTACTATCTAAAAGTTAAATTAATATTAGTTAATTAAATTTATTTTTTACATTGTTTCAATTGTGAGAGTGGTAACATTAAGGCTGTATTGAGAGTAAGTGACAGGAACGCGCAAGTTTTATTACTTCTAGTGACCGTTACTACACACCTTGCGCCCGCGTCGTACATTGCTTTGGGAACAGCTGTATCTTTTATTACACGCAAGCTTTACGAGCTTTACGTATATATATATATATACAGGGTAACGAATAAATATGAGATAAATTATGGACTACATCTAATTATTCTTTGTTTTCACAATAGGACGGCTTTGTCTGGTTTTTTCTTGCCACCATTTTAAAGTTTCCTCAAACTGCTCTCTATCTTCTGGTGTCACCTGAATTTCAGGAAGTTCTTTCTTTAGTTCCACTTCACTATATGGCTGGTTTTCAACATAGTTGTTTTCGTCCTCTTTGAGGTTATATTGGTTATGAGATAAAATTAAGTCGGGGTTTATGGCCTCTAAGGGGAGTTCAGTGTGATTTTCAAAGTCGTTATGGATCTGCCGATGAATAGATTCAGCGTATTTAACTTCAAAGTCACTTTCATTTAATGCCACTTCTGATTCACTACAGTAATTTCGTTCGGCTATTACTGTGAACTGCTCAGCCGAATTCGGAAAAGGAAAATGACCATCTAAAATATGCGGATTCTCTTCATGACCAAGAAGATCTGATGATGGAGTTAAAGGTTGACCAAGACATTCCTCTTCATCATATAAGTGAGGTGTAGAAACTAGTTGAAAAGTTTCTGAAGCCGGTAGTTCCATGTATGACTGTTGGTGTAATTGGAGTGAGCCGTCTAACTCATCGTCATCAATATCTTCATCTTCAATAGCTGGAGAATGAAGTGTATAATAACTTCTTTCCTGACTATTCTCACGTGGTGAAGATGAGGCTGGAGAAGGAAATGATTCCATAGATGGTCTAGACATGTTTTCTTTATCAGCATGTCCAATATTGAGTAAGCTTTCGAGGTTTCGTATATATTCGACAGCCATACGTAGAGTTTCAACTTTACTTAGTTTTTTGTTGGGCCCTCTGTTAGAATTTGCATTTTCAAAAGCCGCTGCTACTTCGTCTGGTATATGACGGCGCAGGGCAGCAAAACCGTCATTAACTTGACGCACTCTATTCCTTTCCCGCGCATTTCTTCGGGCCACTGCAAGAGGCGTTGGTGATCTTGAAGTATCTTCTGGTGCATTTTCGCGAATTCGGGATCGTTTTGATAATGTATTCACTGTATCTGATGCGCGCACTAATGATTTCACTGATATCGTGTTTGGAGATGTAATCTTATGTTTCTTTCTTACAATAATTATTTCACCAATGTTTGGATTCGTATCGTTACTTGTTATGTTCACGGTATTATTCACAGATTCCTGAAGCACCTGCGTCTTGCTAATAGGTGAATTACGAAACACTACGACTCCTATCGAACTCATTTCGGTGGTGAGTTGCCGATTTCACATGTTACTTTTGTTTGAGTATCATTAGTTCCGGTTTAGAATTTTTGATGAAGTCACGTACTGTTGCAAGAACCGTTTATAGATGAAAGAATGGTGAGAAATGTTGAGATGGCGTCAGGGCGCCGGCCTTCGCGGGAATGGCGCGTGCCGCGCGGACGCACCTGGGGTGGCCCGCGGGGGGATTGACAGGGGTAGGTACTTACGTTTGCTAGTTGCACACACATGCTCTTTCCAAGGGCGGAATAGGGAAGCGATGTGGCTCAGCTGCTATTTTTTGATATCGATAATATTTATATGACGAAAATTTCAGTATAATATATTGGACAAATATAATAATGTTTAAATTAATCTATAATAACACTTTCATGCAAAATGCGCATTACATATAAATTTGTTATATTTCTAACTATTATTTTATCAATAGGTATGTGTCATTAACTATTGACATTAGGTAGGCATTGCTTTATATTTATTTATCACTATCTGCTCATTTTATCATAATTTATTATTCAGATGAAGAAAGAAGTGGATTAAGTTCTCATTACTTTTAATTAAAAAATTATTGGTTATATAAATCTTTTACTTATGTAGTACAATTATGGTTACCCATGTAATTATAATTAATTAGGAACTAACTTATCACTTAGTGTAATTTTAAAATTTAAATTATGGAGTTTTAAAATTAAAAATATTTATTTGAACTTAAAAATTTAATTTTAATATTTCGATATTGTATATATACATATTCGATATGTAGACACGGTGACCCAACACGCGAATACCAAAGGGCAATAATTTATATGGGGTGGCGCACCCAGCTGCCGCGTATGTGTGAGGATACTACAGCGTGCACACATTCAAACTATTAGATGTAATTGGTATACACACACGTGTGATGATGTAACGGGGATAAAACCGTTTCTTTCAGTGGAATTTGATATATACATGCGCTGGCGCAGGACTAACCAACCTAAGAATATCATGAAAAAAAAACATTTATCTCACATACTTACGTCATATACCCAATTGAGAGTAATATAACTTCTACGAATTCTATCATATTTCATAAATTGAAAACAAACTATTACCTTAGAGAACCTTTTCTATCATACGTAGTGTGAAAATATTAAAGCTAAATAAATTATAAAAAAATATAAGCGCACTTTTATATAATATAAAGTGAAGTTACAAACTAAATACATTCCATAGCTTGTACCTAACAACGTCTCTTTTAATTTCTGTGAGGATTAAGGAGCACTCTGCACTCCTCCAGTGCTTTCGGCGGAATTTGTATGTACTCGAAATGTTATTTCTCACATATGCAGGTTTATTCGCGATGTTTTTCTTTATCGCCTAGTATATGTACATATACATGAGAATTTATAACGCAATTAAAAATGTGTGAAAATTTAAAAAATAAGAAACACAGAAGTTTGAAGAATGTCGACTACAAATTAAATAATAATTATCTTAAACTAATCCGTAATGGAGTGGTAATGGGCCGGCCATATAGCTCGAAGAACCGACGGTTGTCGATTGATGGGGCAGAAAAGTTCTAGAGTGGTAGCCTTGTATCAGTAGGCGAAGTGTAGGGCGGCCCCCCACTAGACGGAGTGACGACTTGGCAAGACCTGCAGGAAGTCGATGGATGCAGGTGGCTCAAGATTTTTTCGGGAAGGCCTATGTTCAGCAGTGAACCTATAAAGGGCTGTAATGATGATAATACGCTAATTAATATGTGATAAAAAATTATAATAAAATGCACCTGAGAAAAAAAATTGTTAATTATCTAAGCGCAAAGAATTAGTTATATAAACGGCACTTACGCATTCACTGTAATTGTATTTGTGTGCGTGTGTGAGTTCACCTACGCCAGCTGTCTTTGGATGCCTTTATCTTTTGTGTTATGGCACGCGCCACTATTCTATGACCATTGTAAGCTATTATTGAATGCGATTTGTGCACGCGATAATATACCTTATATGGTTTTTATCAATAAACTGTTCTGAAACTCTATGATACGCCGCGTTATAAAAGTAAGTTTGTTTTTTGATATTGCAATATATTTGAACATTATTGTATTTTTATTTATTTTGCTATGTTCATTTAGTCTGTTAAAATATATATCCATCTTAGTAGCTGGAGATTATCCTGGAGCCATCTTAATATATTCTTAAATAGTATGGTACTGGACACGAGTCTCTCGCCTTTTTTTTTTTTTTTTTTTTTTTTTTATAGGATCGGGTGACAAACGAGCACACAGTCCACCTGATGGTAAGTGGTTACTGTGACCCATAGACATCTACATCTATCCTCAATAAAGACTCAAGATGCAGATGCGTTGTCACCCGTGAGGACTAAGATGGAATGCCTCTTTGCCAGTAAAAAGGGTCTCCGGTTCTCTACACTCACCATACGAAACACAGCAGCGATAAGCTGCTATTTTACGCTGGTTTTCTGTGAGAGCGTGGTCCTTCCCCGGTCGAGCCGACCCATTCATGCTACAACCATAATATAACTGCAGCATGGCTCTACCACGTATAATAGATCAAGTTAGCAAATTAATCGAAGTCTCGTACGTTTTACGCTGTTCTCGTCACCGATCAGGATCATTTATTTCTTTTTTTATAGAATGTCCACAGTGGCTTTACTGCATTATATAAACGCCAGTTGATTTTAAAGGCGAACATCGCTTTTACTGTAATAAAGAAATACCTATGTCTATGAAGTTAACGTTCAAGCTTTTGGTGTTTACGAATGGAAAATTTCTTTTCTTTTAGTACCCTGTAATTAATAGGCTTTCCCCAAGAAATGCCACAAAGCATAGTACTGAGTTACCTGCATCCATTGACTTCCTGCATGTCTTACAAGGTCGTCACTCCATCTAGTGGGGGGACGCCCTACACTTCGTCCGCCGGTAGAAGGCCGCCACTCGAGAACCTTTTTACCCCATCGGTTGTCGGTTCTTCAAGCTATATGGCCGGCCCATGGCCACACCAGCATACTAATCCGTTGGGCTATGTCGGTCACTATGGTTCTACTGTAGATATCCTCATTTCTAAGTTTATCACGTAGAGAAACCCCGAGCATAGCCGTCTCCATAGCTCGCTGAGCAACCATGAGCTTCTTCATATGGCCAGCAGTGAAGTACCACGTCTCAGTTCCATAGGTCGTCACTGGCAATACGCACTGGTTGTACAGTCTCGTTTTCAAGTTTTGAGGTATACCTGACGATAAGTTGTGACGTAATTTCCCAAACGCTGCCCAGCTGACTTGAATCCGTCGATTGACCTCTCGGTCAAAGTTGGATTTATTTAGTCGGACTATTTGTCACAGGTAAACACACTCGTCAACAACTTCGAGCTTAGTGCTCCCAATAACGACCGGCATAGGTGTGACATGGACGTTATACATGATCTTTGTTTTGTCCATGTTCATCTTAAGATCTATACGTTGGGAGGCACTATTGAGGTCATTGAATAAAATGTCATAGTGCTTAGCATAGTGATTCTCTAGCGATTCTGCCATAAGAATTATATTGCTGACAAATCGAAGGTGAGTAATGTACTCGCCGTTGATGACAATACCGTATCCATTCCAGTCCCGTAGCTTGAAAATGTCTTCCAATGCAGCGGTGAACTGATATAATGTCACCCTATCTTACACCTCTCTGCAGTTGTATAGGTTTCGTACTCTGGTTCTATACTCGGATAGCTATCATAGCCCTACTGTACAAATACTTCAACACTTCGATATACTGAGAGACAACTTGGCACTGCTGAAGGGACTGCAGCACCGCCCAAATTTCAACGGAATTAAACGCTTTCTCATAGTCCACGTACTTCTGTACAATTTGCGGAATGGTATGTATGTGGTCTATGGTGCTAAAGCCTTTTCGGAAACCGCTTGTTCGTGAGGCTGGATCGTCGAGTCTGCATGTGAGATGATCCGTAATGACTCTCCAAACCAGCACGTAAACGCGGCTCTGAAGGAAATCGGTCTGTAGTTTTTCAAGGGAGCCTTGTCACCTTTCTTGAAGAACAAGACCGCACTTCGGCTCCACGCCTCCGGTATGGAGGTGGTATCATGGTGGTAGGTATGGTAGCACTACCACCATGGAGGATGGAATTAAAGAGTTTCTGAAGGACTTCAAGTACAGGTTTTCTACCCGCTTTCAGAAGCTCCGCTGTAACTCCATCCTCGTCTGGGGCCTTGCCGTTTTAAGGTGCTGGAGAGCCATTCTAATCTCGCTCAGAGTGACATCCGGAATATCATCGGAATAATGTCGGATAAGACTCACTCGTTGATCGTTACTCACACTTGCGTGTGGCTCCAACGAAGATGTATACAGCTGTCCATAGAACCTCTCAATCTCACTCAAAATCTCAGGTGTACCGGAAACGACGCTGCCACACTCGGTCTTCAGCTTCGAGAGTTGGCTCTTTCTGGCAGACATATCTCTTGGAAAGACTTTGGAGCCCTGGTTTCGCTCGATCGCTTCTTCGATACAAGCTGTATTGAGTTTGCCTAAGTCCCGCCGCATATATTTGGAGATCTGTCTGTTTAGCTGCCTGTACGCCGTAAAATCTGCTGAAGACTGCAGCTTCACTTCCCATTTAACAGCCAGGAGATTAAGAATGTGATCGGAGAGTTTTTGTGTACTTCTGCGGTGGGTCTTGCAGAACTTAGCTCCGACCGCATGGACAGTTTCCACGAGCTTGTCATTTATATTGTCCACTGCGTTGCAATCTTCTAGGCATTGAAAACGGTTTTGTTGCTAGGGCTGAAAGATTTCGCGACCTTGGTATGAGCACGAAGGGGACGGAGCCTTAATTTCATTAGACGATATCTCTCCAACTTAACGTTTAGGTCCAGTGTGCCTCTAACCATACAGTCATCACTACCAGTTTTCACCCTCACGATCACTGAGACATCTCTGAACATTTGTCGTCTGGTCATCATAATGAAGTCACTCT